GGGAATCAACAACTTGACACTTAGCCTTTACTTTCTGAAGTTACGAATTCTTCTAAACATGGTTGTGCAACAGAAATATAAAAACATAGTATGTCGCTCTGTCGTTGACAACCAGATTAACTGATTGAGTTCAATCACTCGCACAGTTTGACCGTTTCGAAAACAGCTTTGTCCTGCCTTTGACACAAGAAGGATAGGGTCAAACTGTTTTGGGGTTTTTTGTAACCGGTCAATTTTGTCAGATGGCACCGTTGTGTTTAATTAGGTACCTGCATATCAATTGTTCTTCAACAATGAAAACTCTTTGATGTAATTTTTTCTTTTTTTCTACTTACTCAAATACTTGTGAAGAATGTTGCAGTTTTTGATATATATATATATGGATCCTACCATTTGATGTATAAGTATACCAGTGTGTGTTTATAAGTGAGCCAATGTATAAGTGTACTGATGTATAAGTGTACCTGTATGTTTAGAAGTGATCCAATGTAGCAGTGTACTGATGTACTAGTGTACCTATGTGTTTATTAGTGAACCAATATAGCAGTGTACTGATGTACAAATGTACTAATGTACCAGATATTCCGTGACATTCTCGTGCTTTGTTTGGAGCAGGGTAGGGCACACAGAGTTGTATATCGTGCTCAGAATTTTTACTTTTATCGCTCGCCTCTTCGTCAGGTCTTATGATTAAGGCTTGTATGTTTGTTATTTATACCCAGTGCCCTTTGGCACGATCGGTTCAGTTCGGTTTGGTTTGGTAGGCGGGGATAGCCAGATTGAGGGCGCAAATCGACACCATTGTAGCACAAACCCATCGCCCGGCTCACAGCTGTCGCAAAAACAAACGTGTTTGTTTTCCGGCCGCGAATCAGGCGATCGGTTGGCGATGGGTTTTTTCGATCCCCCCCAATGGGCACTCTGTATATTACTAGGGCTGTGGGTGATGTATGTGTTGAGCTTGGTCGACCCACAGACCAGCGAAGAATTTACCGGTACACCAAGTGAATATTGTAATGGACCGCCCAGTCGCGGTTAGTGTTGTATAGGAAAAGTTCAACGTCATCATTTTGTCGTATATATATAGTGTGCAGAGAACTTTTTTTATTTTTTGGTGTGAACTTTAGACTTTAGTTACGGTTCAGCCACTGTGGGCCAGGGGAGAGGGTCTGTGTGATGAGCCACAAGAGGTGTGCTCAGATTCCCTCATTTTGTCCCAGACTATACACATACGATACATGAGTTCTGTTTTTGCTATTGCTTTATTCATGTCTGCTGTGCTGACGTTTTGATAATTTGTGACGCTGACAAAATGAGTTACTACTCGCCATCCATGAATGGAGATTTCAGCCGAAAATAAGCACTGGGGTCAGATTGATAGTTTTCAATTGACACCATTTTCTTCAAGCCTACCATGTCTTTTATTATTTCACACTTTTGATAAATTGTACAAACTCCACATATAAAGTTGATTTATCAATTTTCATAAGGCTGAATTCCGAGAAGTAACTCATTTTGTCAGCACACCTCACATTTCGTAAATGTTCCTCTAATGTGAGTTATTTTTATATAGCGGCATAGTTGCTAGACGTCACCATATAAATGTTTTTGTGACACTTTGCCATCTCAAGGCTCATATTGTAAAAAACCTTCGCGTCAAAGGCAAAAGCATTTGGGGGGAAAATCCAAAGAAACTGGGTGGTAAATATCGCCGATCAGGCGAGATGTGACGGCAAAGTGTTAAATCATTATTGAATCATTATGTAATCATTTTCAAAGAGCTTGTTTTTGCTGTTGCTGTTGCTGTTTGTAGGTCAGCAGTTTTGCTACTGTTGGACTGGTGCTGTAAAAAGGCCTTAGGTATTTTCTCGTATTCGTTTCATTCCACAGAACCCTCATGTTTCATGTTTGAGTTTTTGGGGTTTTTTTGTTGTTTTTGTTTTTGACCGATGAGCAGTCTTAGATTTAGCGTGCCACTCATTTTGTCCGAACCGGCCCGCACATTTGTTCAGTCTGCCTGAAGTTTGTCTGTGTTTTCAAAGTTTTAGAATTGCGTAGCTGTCTGTCTGTCTGTCGTGAACTGGCGGCGTGTCTATGTTACTGCTGTCTGTCTGTCGTGAACTGGCGGCGTGTCTATGTTACTGCTGTCTGTCTGTCGTGAACTGCGGCGTGTCTATGTTAATGTTTTCATCTGCTTGTGCCTTCCACATTTTTTGCCAGCTCTTCAGCCTCGTTTGCTCTGCCTTCATCCATGACATGATGCAACTATTTATAGAAGCAGTGCTGCGTACACTGAAGAAAGACTTTGCTCAGATTTTTCTGGA